CAGTGTTTCCTTCAACAGTACTGCTATTTGTTGGTTATTATCCATGGTCCGCAGTTTTAATTCTACTTAAAAGTGGCGAAACTAAACCTTCAAATCTTCCAGCATTGTTTAAAAAGGCCTTCGACTTTGGTTGAGGTCCACCGTCATCTCTTAGATTATTTTTACCCAGTGCCGTACCACTGACAACAAGGTATAATTTGAAGGAAGTCAGGTTTACTGCTTAAAGCTGTTAATTGAATACCGGTTAACTGGAAAGATATTACAGCTCAGACCTTCCTGTCTTGCTTGATACAATACTTAATTAGTCTTTCTGGTGGAGCATTTTCCTTTGGCAATGAAAAATACATACATTATCCAACACTGTAAATAGGGCTCTAGACGACCTAGATAACTGTTACTCGATTAACGACACGTATGCTTCATCTAGAATTATGAAGAAAATTGTTGAGGCAATTGGTAACCATTTAGGTTATCACCAACTTTTCATATAGTCATAGCATGGATTCATTTCTGAAAGGTAGCGCGTAAACTGTCATCTGGGATACGTTGGTTATGTAATAAACAATGAGGATATTAGGAAGCTAGTCGTCACTTAGTGCTTCGAATTCACTAAAACGTTTGGTACAGTACGACACTCATTTCTTTTGTGTGAATTAAAGGCAATCGAGGTAACGGGTAAATTCATAACTAGATCCCACCCTCCTTAAAGGACCGATCACAGATAGTGAAAATAGGACCCACAGAATGCGACTGTGTCTTCCAGGGGTCAGTCATAGGACTCCTATCGTTCATTGTATTTGTTGATGACACCCTCGATAGCTTTACGTTCGGCCAAAGCATGGTTTCTTTCTTCTGTTACACAAAATCTTGAGGACATATATTTTGCTGCGTATTGAGTTAATCCTTCGTAACGTCTTTTGTTACGCTCTACCCTAACCTTCGGAATATGTCATTAGTAAATATTTAATCATGTTCGACTACAACCCAGTTCAAATCTTCTATGAACTGCTTTATGGACCGATTCAAAGTTTCCTACATGCTCTGTACACCCTATCTAAATTAAGCTATACTTAACGATGTGCCACACAACATCTAACCTTGTGAAAAAGCAACCTGTTGACAACCCTTGGTCACTTCAACAACCACAAATTGTTCAACTTCCTGTAGCCTCTAGTTCACATTCTACACTAAGCAGTGCTAACAACACGCTCTTTATCCGTTTCCCTTTTTTATGCGTTGTGCTCCTTTTTCATAATAACTGAATGATCGTGCCTCTTGAGTTTTCTATTCATTTCCACAAAATGCAGCTCAGCTACTAATGATATTTTTCACCCTGGGCCCCAGAAATAAACTGTATCCGGTCTACACGAAACCTAGTGCAACTAGTGACTACTCGAGTAGATATTCAGAAACACTCAATAAGCGTCCATAAGGACCATTGTTAACCATAACAATGTTAGTCCCGTCTTTTTATCGTATCTTTCTTTGTCTAACCATTTTCTCTCGAATCTTCACTCACTTCATTAAAAGTATTAGATTCTATTTTTTTACCTAAAACTTTGTTCCTGATAGCTCCTTTTGTTTGGAAACCCATACTTCATCTTATGCTACTGTTTATTAATCCTTACTTTATTAATATACTGAGCATTTGCTCTATCTATAAACACTTATTATAAACCTCATTGTATCCTATTGATTATACCTGAATCTAGAAATATATATTGTGATGGTTTGTTGATCTCATTCTATAACAAGGTGCTAGATGAAATTGTTAGAAGTATTGAGTCTTCCCCATCAAAGTACAATAGATGTATTTTAGCTGTTTACCCACCTCATTATGGCGCTTGAGAATCTCACACGCTTATATCTGAGTTTTTAAATAAGTGTATTTCATTAACGATTATTTTTGTGTATATCTGGTCCACTGACCACTGGGTGGCCCTAGTTTTCTCCACTTCAGCAGTCAATCATCAACTAAAACTGAGCAGCAGTTCCTCTTGACAGTTAACGTGTGACCTCGAAATAAGAATTTTGAACACATGTAATATAGGGAATTAGAGGGGATAAACTCAGTAAAGCATACAGAATTAAATCTCCCTAGAGTCAATTTCGCGGAATATACGTATATTGGAGGTGAAAAATCAACTGAAGCTCCGTTCTTCAACCTCATTGAGGATTTGGGATTATTCGAAAATGTGGAGTCGGCAACGCATTGTGGAAACAGTCAGACGCCGTCGCGCTGAGACTGGGCATTTACAAACGAAGAATTACTGGTTGACTAACTCTCAATCCTGGCTCCCCTGGGGGAAAGCGATCACGCTGTCATAGCCTTCGGTTCTATCAGCAAAACTGAGCTAAGACATCACACCAACAACGGGCAATGGAATTTCGAACGGTAGAATGTGCCAACTTTACAGGGACATCTACAACAGGTGGATTGGGATGTTCACCCTCAACTTGATGTCGATGCTCATTGGGATTTCTTACTGCACACGCTTTTATGTGTTACAAAGCAGTCTGTACCTGAAGCGGTCCCAAAAAGCCATAAGCAACCTATGGCCATCAAGAACCGCACTTTTCGTTTGCTAAGCCGCCAAAGTCACTGTTGAGCAGCATACGAACAAACTGGCAATACAAAAATATGAGGAACATATGCACAAAGGCAGTAAGAGAAGACAGGCTTCAGTAACAGATAAAGCTTATCGATAAATTTATCTCTAATCCGAAAAGCTTATTCCGTTATGCAGCCTCTCTTCGACAGTCTGAAACTGGAGTTTCCCAACTGCTAGGTCCTAATGGTCTGATTAATAACGACGGCGACGCCGCTAACCTTTCGGCTAGACTATACTCTCGGACATTTCAATCGGCCCACATCAACTATATTGATGAAAGCTTCACAGGACTTTTCAAAGTAAACCTGAGCTCTGACTTGTTGTGTCCGGAAACTACAGCACGTAAAATAGACACTTCTCCTGGCCCGGATATAGTTCATTCTGCTATACTGAGGGAGGCAGCTTCACTCCTGGCAGCACCGCTTAGCGTGATGTTCTCACAATCGCTAAGCCGAGGCAAACTACCGGAAATTTGGAGGCTGGCTCACATCACACCAATTTTCAAAGGAGGTCGACGTAGCGAACCTTCAAGCTACCGACCAGTGGCTCTTCTCTCTATACCTCCAAAAATTGTGGAGTCGGTGATGTGCGACGCTATGCACGACTATTTATTATCCTTAAACTTATCTTCGCTTCAACAGTATGGTTTCAGGAAGTTTCATTCTTGTATGACCAACATGCTGACTGCGGTGGACAGATGGACAACCATCCTTGATCGCAAGCTTAAGGTTGATGTCATTTACCTTGACTTCTCAAAAGCTTTTAAAATGTCCAGCCACACATGTCTTATTATTAGGCTCAAACGATTGGGTATCAAATCACCTCTAATTGATTGGCTCACTTCATATCTAAAAAATTGACATTTTAAGGTCAGGGTTAACTTCACTTTCTCTCAGGCTATAGAATGTCTTAGTGGGGTCCCTCAGGGCTCGGTACTAGGACCTCTTCTCTTTTTGATTTATATAAAAGATCTTCCACAACAGGTATCGTCAGACTTATTACTTTTTGCCGACGATGTGAAACTTTGGAGAGAGATACGCAACCAAGACGATATACAGGCACTTCAGGAGGATCTGATTCGACTTCAAAGTTGGGCGTATGACAACGGACTTATCTTTAACACTTCAAAATGTAAAGTAGTCCATCTGAGACATTTTTCAGACTGCAACTACAACTTAAGAAACTCCTCTCTAGAAGTATCTCAAGTTGAAAAAGATTTAGGAGTGCCGGTACCCTACGATTTGAAGTCATACTCTGTGACAAAAATACCTTTCGAGAAAATCTTGCACTGGTAACATTGAAGCGCATTCTTGGCCAGTTTGACAGGAAAACTTTCCACATAATCTTCAACAGTTTTATTCGTCCCCATTCAGAGTACGGAAACATTATATTTCCTCCCTCACTCCAAAAGGATAAGGACACTCTGGAGCGTATCCAACGGCGAGCCACGAAATCAGTTCTGGGATTCAAATTCAAGCCTTATGAAGGGCGTCTCCAATCACTTGACCTTTACCCATTAGAGTATAGGTGTCTTAGATGTGACCTAATGGCCTACAGTATCATTAACACTCCTGGACATCCCCCAAACACCTACTTAAGCTCAGTCCCAATATAAATCTAAGGGGTAACACCCAGAAATTGGAGATACAACATAGCAGAATGGACTGTAGACACAACGTCTACTCCTTAAGAGTTGTCAAATGCTGGGGTTCGCTGCTGACTGAACTAGTGCAAGCGACTTCTCAGGAGTCATTTAAGAGGAAACGACCTATTCTTAAGGACTAAGGATAATATCTTACTATGATTTGCCAATTTCTTTTTTTCTAATCCATTATAGTTAATATTCCTAGGTCCCTGCCTTGGAGTATTGGTGATCCACTGCTACTAGGCGCGGAAACCCGTTAAGTGGAAGCTTCTATTCCGTCCACAACCATTTGAACCATTTGTTTATTCAAACACCTCATCGTTTCAGTATTAAGAAACTAATTAGCACGTGGTGATTATTGTGTCCCATGCAGGGTTTGTGCTTTGATATATCATATTGTTTTTTATGACCACGTTTTGTTGTATCTGTATGCAGGACCAAAATAAGCGAAGGTTCCGAAGCAAAGATTGGCATGTTTATTTCTTTGAGAGGAATTAGAAAACATCGTTGATGAATTACGATAGTTGAAAGATATAAAAACTTCAATACTATCTAGTCACAAAAACACAGGATTATACAGAGTGTCTTGTTTAAAATAGTTTAGTTGTCCAGTGGTAAATAAGTAGTGCAAAACATATCAAGGGTGTTTGCAGTCCCCTTCAAGGTCAGCATATTAGTATAGAACATCGTTTTCCTTGTATGCTTTAGCTTACCACAATGTTCAGTTTTTGACCGAGCATCTAATGACACAAGTTAATATTTTAATGTCTCGATGATATCGCTTTGTATCTAGTGTTGTGGTTTAAAGCCTCCTTGGTTTCCAGACGTGAGAAAATAGTGAGACTTTGCAGTTTTTGTCTTCCTGACTTAGCTATTTCGCTGAATTTTCAGCAGAGTGTCTGCTTTTCGCCTTAATATACAACTAAATGTCAACCTCTGATCTACATTTACGCCAGATAAAATGCAGAGTCTTTTGATAGCACTAAGCAACAGTGCCAGAATGTTTGGGATGCGTTTCTCCCCCTCTAAATGCAAGTTGTTGCTTCATGATTGGCCTGTGTCAACACCTGAACTAAGGATAGGGAATGAAGTAGTCGAACGCGTTGACAACTTCACTTATCTTGGAAGTCTGATCAGCCATAATGGGTTGGTGTCTGACGAAATCTCAGCACGGATTCGGAAAGCTCGTTTGGCTTTTGCCAACTTACGTCACCTATGGCGAAGACGAAGTATCCGTCTATCAATAAAAGGACGAGTATACTGCGCGGCAGTCCGTTCTGTCTTACTTTACGGCAGCGAAACATGGCCATTACGAGTAGAAGATACTCGTAAGCTACTAGTATTTGATCACAAATGTCTTGGAAATATTTCCTACATCTGCTGGGATCATTGGGTTAGTAATAGTGAGGTTAGACGCAGGGTATTAGGGAGTGAGGGTAAATCAGTTGATGGGGTTGTGAATCTTCATCGACTGAGATGGTTGAGCCACATGTTACGTGTGCTTGAATACCGATAACCACGACTCGCAATGCTGACTACTGTTGAGGATGCTTGGAAGAAAGTTAGGGGCGGTCAAACCAAAACATGACATCAGTCCATAAAGTCACTAACTTCTGGTCTGAGCCGTGTTGGTGGATGTATGCTACTTTGTTGGGGTCTACGCGACTATCGCAACCAATGGTTGGAGACCCTGTGTGACATGGCTCACAATCGCGTCGGTGTATACATTCTCTATATTCCCTTGAACTGTGAGATCGAAATAGCTTCATATGTCCCTTTCTATGGACTATTTCTTTCTTTCTATACTATATCCTTACACAAAACCATTCTTTTATATATCACACCATTGAGTTGACTGTTTTTATGAATCCGGTGTTCGTCTTGCTGTGCTAATGAGGTATGGCAACTTGGACCGATGCATATATGTGCTTGATCCGACGTTGTAGATGACTCACCAAATAGCCTACTACTCACTTAAACTTCCGCGAAGTTCACTCACTACTATGTGCTCAGTCCAAATGTTTCCTTTGTTTGCCTATATTTTTACTACAAAATTAACGTTCAAGCACTAGATTAATTTTCTGAAGTTTAAACCTGGGTAAAGACACTGATTTACAGAAAATGAGATCATAGTTTACAAAGAGGCTAATAACACTCCAACGTTTGCCATACATCTTTGTTAGTGCAAAGTTTGTTTGTTTTTAACCAAGACCTGCAACAACGTCATAGTTGCCTATTGATATTATTTATTAGGGATGTGTCTTAGTTTTCAACCCAATATGGAATCATACACGCTGTCACTACATACGTCTAATTTTCCTCAACGTACTGTATGTAAGTGATATAGTAGATGCATATATAAATGGCAGTCTGTTGGAAGATTAGGATTAAAATACAACCAATTTTATAAACCGGTAGGGCTCCATTGCTACATCGATTTTACTATTCAGAATCTTAGTAACCGTCTTTTGAATTCTGGAATTTAAGACGAACGAAACTTTATGATAATTTCACTTCCGTATTTTTTGTTACCAACACCTAACTGCATAAAGTGTTCGTTAACAATAGACACCATCTATAGAAAAGCAATCAAGGGTTATTATCCAGTTATAACTTACGTTCTTTTCTTTCTATGAGTTTGTATCTCATGTCACAGAAACGACCTTATATTGACATATCAAGATTTTTGAGGGTCTTTTTGTGTGGTACTTAATGATAAACACCATAGTGCTAGTGCACCCAATGATTAAAAACAAAAACGTACACTATTCGTATGCTGCCATAAGACTTACACCTCTGAAATGCCCTTATAGATGTAGTACCAAGTAGCGTACAGTGGCTAGCAGCTTCAGGCTTAATGATGTAGCGCATGAAGGTTTTCGAGTTACCATCCATTATTCTCATCACCATGACCATCTAGATTGTGAAGTAATAATCCAATACATTTAGTGGAACTACGGATTTGTCCATGCCTTCTTGCTGAAGACATGAGTCCAACGTTCCTTTTCAGACGACAAAGGAGAATGGAAACTCGATGATCCAGTATCAATGCTCTGTGGGTTTTTGCGCGCATCAGACTTAGACTAACATAAGCTGCATACCATTAGCACTCATGTTTGATATTACGACATTTAATGGGGAACAGCGTATAGTTATGTGGATCTGAAAAATAGGCTTAAATTTCACATTTCAGCCGCAAACCGATTGCCAATAGGTGTTGGCGTGGAAGTCGGCGGTAACGTTTTTGCTTGTGCCGAATTTATTTATATGCATTTATAAATATATATACTTGAATGTCCAGCAAACTGAATTGCGAATATTGAACGTGACTGTTTTCAGCCTGCATTTCAGTTACATCCATGTCTACTGAATTCTACAGATACCTCGATCTCTGTTTCGACGCATCACTACAAAAGATTTATAGGATTGTGATGCTTAACTCTTGGGTTTTTCTGCATTAGATCGCAATGTATTTTCGTCAGCTAAACTATTGGCATGACAGCCGGTCAGTTTACTGAACAAAACCAACAAATCTGTCGCAGTCTACACATATCTATTTGATGCCCCCTTGTACCAATATTTATGTGTTCAAATAAATAAATAAAATAGTCTACACCGTCTATAGGAAGTAAGTCTGTGTATATAATTGACCATAGTAGTAGATAATCCCACACCTGATAACCGACCAATTGTTATGTAGTTGAGCACCGTTCTCCACGTACATATCCACAAAGTTAGCAGGATGTAAGAGAAGTTATTCACCAACAAGCCACTTGGTTGCTGCAATAAATACCTGCTTCAACGATTAAATCTACATCTACTGTAACTGCCTTCTCGCGGCACGAGTGTCGTATAGGAAATTGAGAGGACGAAAAGCGAATGACCGGCGCTTTAACTACGTTGGTGGGTACAAAATACCAACCTAGGGGAGTCGAAAAAACCTGATTCCAAACCAATGGTGTATATGGGCTCCAGGATCATGAGGGAACAAATGGCGTATGAACCTTTTGTTGGTCACCGGCTACCATGGGACTACATCTCCCAACGTTGCTCCATTACCTTGTGGATTAGACGTTTAGAAAAAAAGGCTCGAGTGTGACCCCCTAAGAAAGGCACATGCTTAGGTTTGGAAACCCTGGAAGTATCAAAGCCCTTACACAAATCAATAATAACTACTACTAGCCTGATTGTTATTGTGTGGCACATATGTACTTGGTGTCTCCTTGTACCGATGCTTATGTATTCAAACAAATAACTAACTAACAACCCTTCACAATAACAAAGACCCTCTGGGCACAGGATTTTTCCTGGAACAGAGCGCCCAACAATAAAGGTTCGATAACGGACAGCAGCTTACCTCCCCTACTTCAGGAATTTTACCAACAAAATTCCGATATGCGTATCTGTACACTGCCATTATATCCTCAATCAAATGGAAAAGCAGAGCGATTTATGGACGCCCTCAAACACAACGTTGACAAAATCAAAGGAGGGTGCTCATCGCCAAACGATGCACTACTGAATCAGGAATCCTCACGGGTCGTAGATTGAGAATCCCTCACCTACTACTGGGAAGGATTAGCTATGCGAAAATAACAAAACCGAAAGTCTCAGATTTTGGAATGGGATCTCTCGTGTTCTCCCAACATTACAGATCGAAACGTGACGCATAGGTAGAAAGGTGAGTGACGAGAAGATTCGGTCAGGTAATGTATGAAGTTGGAAAAGACAAACGGACTCCACACCCAATCAATTACAAAGACACGTGTCGTCGATAACATACAAGAACAAGCCACTCGATTCTAGAAACACCAATAGGCACACTCGGTCAACCACAGCCCCCGAACAACAGACTAGAAAGGACAGAAATAACACCTTTAGAATTAGTGAGACTACGTCCAAGATGGTGAAGACGACAACGGCGGAGAATGGTTCAGTCTCAAGTGAACCAAGGGGTTATATGTTATTTGAAAGGGGTGTTGTGGGTATTAAATCCATAAGTACGGCATTTAGGAAGAAAACAACCTTAAGGTCCATAAATTAACTTATAGCTAGTTCTGCTGATTAAATCTCAGTGCACCTCCATTTGTATTGATTTATTCCGTATGAATTTGAAAGCCTTTCATCGTATTAATGAGCCCAATGTTACTTAACATTAATATGGTGACTGCTCTGTCGATAATTATTGAAGTTGATCGGTATATTGTTCAGTTTATATTTATTTATTTAAGCACATAAATATTGGTATAAGGAGGCACCGAATATATATGAGCCACGCTTTGTCATCCGATTTGTGTGAGGGCTAGAATACTGCCCAGGCGCCAAAACTTGAGCACATGGCTTTCTTAGGGGGTCACACTCGAGCCTTTTTTTCTAAACGTCTAATCCACAAGGTAATGGAGCAACGTTGGGAGATGTAGTCCCATGGTAGCCGGTGACCAACAAAAGGTTCATACGCCATTTGTTCCCTCATGATCCTGGAGCCCATATACACCATTGGTTTGGAATCAGGTTTTTTCGACTCCCCTAGGTTGGTATTTTGTACCCACCAACGTAGTTAAAGCGCCGGTCATTCGCTTTTCGTTCTCTCAATTTCCTATACAACAGCCCCGCTGCCAGAAGACAATGAGTAAGACTTCCCTGATAGTGGCTGTATACTCGTGACCATGTGAGAGCGTTTCAAGAGAGGGAGCGAACTCTTCCCATCTTCGGTCGTACCAGGACATTTGGGGGCTTTAGGGGTACCACGGAGAAAATTTCCGGTCATTTCGAGATCAGATATTTAATACCACTGATCGGGTCCACAGAATCTACGTAAATTCTGCACCATGGATTCACTTTTTCTCTAATACTAGCTTCTGGTCACCAGTCAGTTTTAACTTTTATTGAACTCATGTTACTGTTCACCAAATAATATTGCTAAGATTATACATAGTCCATAAAATTAAAGACTAGCGAAACAGCATCTGAAATATCCTATCATCATTCGTGCTCAGTAGAATGTAATCCAAGCTATAAATTGTTTGTTTCAGTCAGCCGGTCGCGCACGGCCTTTTCGTGGAAGGTTTTTAATGTGTTAGCTCCGTTCTTCAAAGGGCCTTACCACCGGAGACGGAAATCCGTGAGGTGTGACATTTTTAGGATCGACCTTTTCTAACCCCACCCCTCTTTGTGGGAAGGCAGCATCGCTGCAGATGCTGGTTTCCGAGGGAAACACCTTACTGCTATCACACCTCTGTACAGTCAGCAGTTCGACTTCGCCCTCAGACCTTGAGTTGCTGCTTTTAGTCTTACCGTTCTCTAATCGACCTGCCTGGCATGTTAGAACCTACAGGAACATATGTTCCAGCCAATATAGCTCGGTTGGGTCATCACGATAGGCAAGTCCGACCACCGCGTCAAGGTGGCAGCTTCGGTCGGGATTGTTTTCGGTTTTTATCCTTATTGATTTACGAATGTTTTAGCTTTTGTGTCTTACTTCCCCCTGGAATAAATCTTAGTCAAAATTATTACTATCAGTACATCACACGAAGAAGTTGCGATAGCCAGCAGTATCTACTCTTCTGTTCCGAAAGAATGTCATGGTATGAATCACTTGTATTTGGCGACTTCTGATTTTACCTGACTATAAAACGTGGTGTGGGCTTAAACTTGGGATCCATTTGTTACTCACATGTATGTTTTAGAAATAATTATTAACAGACACAATGTTTTACATAAATTTTTCCATTTGAAATGTATTTTTCAGTATTTCTATGTCAATGCAGGTGACGAAAATTGTTTCAAAACATCGACCAAGGTATAGACAAGCACGCATTGTCTTTCCATTGCTTCTTCCAGTGTTATTTGGTATCGCATCACTACATCCAATTGCTACTGTGCTTACTCTTCTTTTATGTTTGGTCGTATGTTTCAATGTCGTTATTGTAGTCGCTCCACCCACATGTCCCTTAGAAGATACATTCCTTTTCTACAGATCGTCTGATAGGTATGACGGGTTTCTAAGGTGCGTTGCAATATAATTTCCTTAAGCTGGTATGGTATTTTAACGTGGTTGTATTACCAGAAATCTGTTTCTATTTAGATATCATCAATGTTTTTCAGTGGTATATGACTGCTGTCCATTTATGTTTTGTGAGCAAACGATTACCTTATTTGTATTATCTAGTACCTAGTAAATTTCACAAATTTATATGACCTGTCTTAGTACGTCTAAAATGTCTTCATTTCCATTATTTCAGTGAATATGTACGTCATATCTGTTTCCTTGTGAAACAAATAATACACTAAGTATCTGTCCATTGATATCAGGTCTTATGTCATGTGTAAGCAACTGACCTTCAAAGTTGATATCCTACGATCATTTATGACATTGAATCATGTTCTTTTTCTGCCGATAATTTGTATATAAGTACGTTATTTTATCAGAGAAAAAACTTACTATTCTGACTAGAGGTTATTTCTTCGATGTCAGTTCATCCATGGTTTTGGACAGACATATCGTTTTTGTGTGTACTCATCACTCATCCATATCACATTATTGGGTTCACCTATTCCAGTCAGTCAGTTACAACATAGGACCAGGCACATATATGCATCGGTCCAAGTTGCCATACCTCATTAGCACAGCAAGACGAACACCGGATTCATAAAAACAGTCAACTCAATGGTGTGATATATAAAAGAATGGTTTTGTGTAAGGATATAGTATAGAAAGAAAGAAATAGTCCATAGAAAGGGACATATGAAGCTATTTCGATCTCACAGTTCAAGGGAATATAGAGAATGTATACACCGACGCGATTGTGAGCCATGTCACACAGGGTCTCCAACCATTGGTTGCGATAGTCGCGTAGACCCCAACAAAGTAGCATACATCCACCAACACGGCTCAGACCAGAAGTTAGTGACTTTATGGACTGATGTCATGTTTTGGTTTGACCGCCCCTAACTTTCTTCCAAGCATCCTCAACAGTAGTCAGCATTGCGAGTCGTGGTTATCGGTATTCAAGCACACGTAACATGTGGCTCAACCATCTCAGTCGATGAAGATTCACAACCCCATCAACTGATTTACCCTCACTCCCTAATACCCTGCGTCTAACCTCACTATTACTAACCCAATGATCCCAGCAGATGTAGGAAATATTTCCAAGACATTTGTGATCAAATACTAGTAGCTTACGAGTATCTTCTACTCGTAATGGCCATGTTTCGCTGCCGTAAAGTAAGACAGAACGGACTGCCGCGCAGTATACTCGTCCTTTTATTGATAGACGGATACTTCGTCTTCGCCATAGGTGACGTAAGTTGGCAAAAGCCAAACGAGCTTTCCGAATCCGTGCTGAGATTTCGTCAGACACCAACCCATTATGGCTGATCAGACTTCCAAGATAAGTGAAGTTGTCAACGCGTTCGACTACTTCATTCCCTATCCTTAGTTCAGGTGTTGACACAGGCCAATCATGAAGCAACAACTTGCATTTAGAGGGGGAGAAACGCATCCCAAACATCCTGGGATTGTTGCTCAGTGCTACCGAAAGACTGCATTTTGTCAGCGTCTTCACCAAACAGGACTATATCATCTGCGTATTCTAAGTCAATAAGTGGACCTCCTGGTAGGAGGAGATCAATGCTCGAAAATTCAGTCGACTAGAACGTCATTTCCATCAGTGTGCCTTACTTACTTACGCCTGTTACTCCTAATGGAGCATAGGCCGCCGAATAGCATTCTCCAACCGACTCTGTCCTGAGCCTTCTTTTCTAGTTCCATACAATGTTTGTTCATTTTTCTCATGTCTTTCTCCATTTCCTGGCGTAATACGTTCTTTGGTCTTCCTCTTTTCCTTTGGCCTTGAGGATTCTATGTGAGGGCTTGTCTCGTGACGCAGTTGGGTGCTTTCCTCAATGTGTGTCCTATCCACTTCCAGCGCTTCTTCCTGGTTTCTTCCTCCGCTGAGATCCGATTTCTTCTCTCCCACAGTAGGTTGTTGCTGATAATGTCTGGCCAACGGATTTGAAGTATTTTGCGTAGACATCTGTTAATGAACACTTGTATCTTCGGAATGATGGCTTTCGTAGTTCTTCAGGTTTCCGACCCATACAGTAGAACTGTCTTGACATTTGTATTGAAAATTCTGACCTTGGTGTTGGTTGACAGTTGCTTTGAGTTCCAGATGTTCTTCAGTTGTAAATATGCTGCTCTTGCTTTACCGATCCGCGCCTTCACATTTGCATCACACGCACCATGGTCATCAATGATACTGCCCAAATATGTAAAGGTTTTTACATCTTCCAAATCTCCGCCATAGAATCTCACGATCAATAGGCATTCGACTCTATTGATCGTGAGGTTCTATGGCAGTGTTTGTCACTGAAAGGAGTACCAAAGAAGTACATTAACCTTGTAAAGGCTCTCTACTCGAACACAACTGGTAGAGTGAGAGCTTATGGCGAACTGTCATCAGAATTGATTACCTCAAGTGGTGTTCGTCAGCGCTGTCCACTCTCCCCATTCTTGTTCAACTTTGTCATTGACGTGCTTCTAGAGATAACACTCTCCTCATCTAAATTCCCAGGGGCTGAACTTCTACCGGGAGGTTCACTTGTTGACTTAGAATATGCTGATGACATAGTTTTATTTGGTGAAGACGCTGACAAAATGCAGAGTCTTCTAACCACTCTAAGCAACAATGCAAGCATGTTCGGGATGCGATTCTCTCCCTCGAAATGCAAAATGTTGCTTCAGGATTGGGTTACATCGACACCTGAACTAGTGATAGGGAGTGAAGTAGTTGAGTGTGTCGACCGCTTCACTTATCTTGGAAGTCTCATCAACCCTTGTGGTTTAGTGTGTGACGAAATCTCAGCACGGATACAGAAGGGTCGATTAGCTTTTGCCAACTTGCGTCATTTATGGCGTAGGCGAGATATCCGTCTATCAACCAAAGGACGTGTTTACTGCGCAGTAGTTCGTTCCGTCCTACTTTATGGCAGTGAAACATGGCCGGTAAGAGTAGAGGATATCCGTAGGTTACTAGTATTTGATCATAGGTGTCTTCGAAACATTGCTCGTATATCATGGGACCATCGAGTAAGTAACACAGTTGTTAGGAAACGGGTACCAGGTAAGGATGGCAAATCAATTGATGAAGTAGTGAAACTTCATCAGTTGAGATGGCTGGGACACGTGTTACGTATGCCCAACGACCGAGTGCCTCGACGTGCTATGTTCAGTGGTATAGGAGTAGGTTGGAAGAAAGCTAGGGGCGGCCAAACCAAAACATGGCACAAGTCCATGAAGTCACTGACAAGTGAACTGAGTCATGTTGGTAGGTGTAGACTACCTGGTTGGGGACCGCGAGATGACAGCAACCGATGGTTAGAGATCCTGAATGACATGGCTCAAAATCGTTTGCAATGGCGCAGGTGCATCCACTCTCTGTGTTCTCCCAAATTCTAATCTTCTGAATTCTTCATGTCCCTTTTTTCTTCTTTCCAAATTTCTTTCACTGGATTATACTCTTTAAATAACATCTCCAAACCCTAATCTTCCCGATTACTGCTTATACTCTTATTACCTCTACCACTACGGGATTCGAATCGACAACTGCATCTCTGTGCTAATGTGGTGTGGCAACTCGAACTGATGTACGTACGTACGAAGTTCTACGTTGGTACTGACTGACCGTCAATTGTGACTGGATTGGTGCATGCTGTGTTGTATCGGAGAATCTTGCTTTGCCCTTCCTGTATATTGAGACGTACTGCTGCTGAGGCTGCTGCCACATTGGTAGTCTTCTCCTGCATTTGTTGTTGCGTTTGCGATAGGAGGGCCAGATCATCTACGAAGCCTAGATCGTCCAACTACATCCTAGATGTCCACTATGTCCCGTGTTTCCCTTCAGATGTTGACGTCTTCATGATCCAGTCGACCACCAGAAGAAAGAGAAAGGGTGAGAGTAAGCAACCTTGTCTAACACCGGTCTTCACTTCAAACGACTTTGTCAACTGTCCACCATGCACAATTTTGCAGTTTAATCCATCATAGGAATTCCGTATGATATTGACTATCTTCTGAGACACGCCGTAGTATCGAAAAAGCTTCCATAGTGTTGTTCTGTCCACGCTATCAAATGCTTTTTCGTAGTCAATGAAGTTGATGTAGAGTGATGAATTCCATTCAATTGATTGTTCCACAATGGTCCGTAGAGTTGCGATTTGGTCTGTACACGATCGATCCTTACGGAATCCACCCTGTTGGTCTCGAAGTTGGGCGTCCACAGAGGCCTTCACTCTGTTTAACAATACCCTGTTGAAGACTTTTCCTGGTATTGAGAGAAGAGTGATGCACCTGTAGTTATCACACTTGCTGAGATTGCCTTTCTTTAGTATTTTGACCAGAAGTCCTTCTTTCCAGTCTGTTGGTACTTGTTCCTCATCCCAAATCCTGCTGAAGAGAATGTGGAGTATCCTTGCAGTTGCCGCTACGTCTGCCTTCAGTGCCTCTGCTGGAATGTTGTCTGATCCTGCTGCTTTGCCACTCTTGATTTGTCTGACAGCCATGCTGATTTCTTTAATTGTTGGTGGGCCAACATTTGGAGGTCCGTGGGTGGGTTCAGTGGGGCTGGTCGATTCAAGAGTTCTTTGAAGTGTTCTACCCACCAGTTCCGTTGTTCTTCAATGTTGGTGATTACTTTGCCTTCCTTGCTTTTCACTGGTCGATGCGGTTTACGGTGATTTCCAGAGAGTTTCTTTGTTGTGCCATACAATTGTCCCATGTTTCCTTCTCTTGCAGCCTTTTCCGCCGTCATTGCTAAATCTTCCACATGTTGACGTTTGTCGATTCTAATGCTCCTCTTCACTTGCTTGTTTACTTCTGTGTATTCAGCTTGTGCCTTGGTTTTCTCTGCTCTTGTTCGGCGGGTATTGATTGCTGCCTTCTTGTTCCTCCTTTCTTGAATCTTATCCAGTTTATCAACAGTGATCCATTCCTTGTAATGATGC